GGGCCATAAGGATCCTAAATATCACAAAATTACGGTCATGCGTCGCCGATTTTCCTATTAAAATTGCTATCAGAGTCCCCGGCACGCCCCCCTTTCTGAGATGACCCCGGAAAACGGGAGGGGCATCTCTTTACGCGTCAGCCAATAGCAAGCGAACGATTCCGGCGTCACTGCGCGTCACCAACGCGGCCGACCGCCGACGCGCGGAGGAATCTCTCGAACAAGCGCGGACCGTCGTCAAGGGACCCGGACTTCGTGCTCGGCAGTCGTCGTTCGTTGCACCGCACCGTCGCGCTGCTACTTCGCATTCCACAGATGACAAGGAAAAGTTTGACTCGTTGACGCAGAAAGATCGCAAAGCTGGCTTCCGAGTCTTGATCGACGGGAAGAAGGAACACGTGCCCACAAACGCACGCCTGCACACGCCCCGGGAAGCAGACGACCCGATGCGCCGACGCAACACCCCCTAGCAACAAGCTTGCGGGGAGAAAACATAGTTCGCTGGTTTTTGAACGATAATTGCGAACTATGTTTCTCGCACCACAATCAGTTCACGTTTTTCTCAAACTCTAATTTACAACAGGCTTAAAAAGTGTTGCGATAATAACGTTCGCTTTCACCACGAGATGCAGCATTTCCATTGGTCAAGTTTTAGCGATGGGCAGGGAAGGGGGGGTTGTCTTCCAAGAGAAAATAGTCCCGATATATTTCTACTGCCATCTGCTTAATAAATTGTTTTGTAATCTAAAAGTTTGTATAATATTAACTTGCACCTACTACGCAATATAACAACATAAACAGACGATCTCAGAAAGCTCCGGAGGGCCCCTTTAAGTGAAGTCATCACAAGTGGAGCACCCCCTTTTGACTGTTTTATTCTTATATTACCATACTTGCAACATACTTGCCGAGTATCTTCGAATGTAATTCAATTACTCTTTGAAAGTATTTGTACTCTACTAAATATAGGTCGTAATAAAAGAAACATAAATGCTAATTTAAATACTTTTTCAGATGGATGTTTAATATTCTATCTTAAATACTTCTGTCATTATTTGGCACAACACTGGTTCTGACTCAGGAAGCGATGGAGGAGGATTTCCGCTTTCAACTTGTGTATGGGGCTGGCGCATTCTGGTAATCAATTCGCACAGTCTGCGCGCTACGCAATAGCGTGGTATGAAAAGACTGGGTTCTTTTTTTCTTGTGTGAATCTATTGAAAAGTCAACTGCCACCCTGGCATGCGACATTTTTGGGTCTTGTCGGCCATACATTGGGCCAAAAAAGAGCCTGGATAAAGTTTCCAAATTAAACAACGCACTTCGAGAGTCGTATAGAATAACTGCATCACAAGGGGTGAGATTGTGAAGCGCATCTAATGCCGCTGCTAGTGCAGCCAGCTTCTCCGTCGTTGACGTGGTAGCGAAGTCGAGGTGGTGTGATGCTTTGATTCCGTCATCGGGAATGACAAATGCCGCTGTAGATGTTGCAGTGGCGGAATTTCTTGACTCGTCGGTAAACACTTGGAGCCATTGCACGTACTTGTCCGTTGGTCAGCTAGAAGCGTCTTTCCGATAGTGGCTGAGATACCATTTTTTTTCGGGAAATAACGAAGCGTTTCTTTTGAAAGATACGGCAGTTGGGTGATAAAGGGATGAAACGGCGCAAAATATATAAATTTGTCATATTTAAATAATTTTAGGAATATATCAGAAAAGTATGCTTTGCCATTATTGCAGCTCTTGGTTATTAATGCGGACACGCAACTCATTTCTCTAAATGTGGCAAAATTGCACGTCAATATTTAAAAAAAAATTCCACCTCTTTTTCTTTATACTTTCCCTAAGATTTCACAATTATTTGAGCTAACTTGTTATAGCGGAACAATAAGTAACATATGACCTCTAAGAGAAAAAAACGACAACAAACTTCACTTAAATTGAGCTGGCTTGTTTTTGTTATACGGGCTTTGCCGCACAACGTCGGCTCCACGAATACACTTTTTTACAAACGCCAAAGGCTGTACCGCGGTTCCGCTCTATCATAGTGTATGGAAAGTCACGCTGTCCATAACTTAGTCTGTTTCTTATTGGTTTTTTTTTTTTTTTGCATTGCCTTAATCCTTTTCTCCCCTCCCTGGTTTTTTTCTACGGGCACTTAGCTCACGAAGGATTGTCGGTGGATGCCTTTGCTGAAGGCAGTTAAAAACTGTATGCACAGCACATTGCCGCGGAGCCTAAAGCCCTCACACTATGAAAGTCTATCATCCGGAAAACAAAGCGAGGCAAGCAGTATCTGGAGAGTCGGTATCTTGGTGTTCAAAATTGTGGGACGACAAACAAACCAGATTACCCTTTCCAAGTATCCATGCGTACCAAAAAGAATGCAGATATAACTTAATAAGCACAAGAATTTTGTTTTTGGTTGTTTCCAGGTCAGTTGATGCAGTGATATTTTGGATTCTATTTACTATATTACTGTAAAATATACACTATACGACAGTCATGTCCTTGGAAGACGCACTCAGCTATGCATACAGGGTGTTTCACAAAACGCAGGCCAAGTCGTTCCTGTGAAAATTACACTTTGCGCAGAAAAAGGTTTGATGTAATATTGGTGACAGCCAAAGGGCCAATTTAGGGCAAATATACGTGTTCGATATAAATTGGTATAGGTTAATAACACCTTGTAATAATTAACTTCGTAATTAATAAATTTCAATGTACCATTTTAATCACAAACGCATTGGTGAGCGTACAATCAAAACTATTAAATCTATCCACCTTATAGATATATATTTAGTCATGTACAGCCTTTTAAGGCACTCCTTGAGATACACTTAATGAGGACCTCGTTTTGAAAAAGAGCAAAGGAGGAGGGGGGTCTTAGGAGGCCAAGTTAGGAAACACAAATATCAACCTAAACTATGAACACAATAACCTTTATTTACTCACTACAATAGAGCAGGACCACCGTACACATCTTTGGCGATTCTGGAAAATGGCTCTTTGGAGCCAGGCTCGTGCGGCAGAGCTCATATGGAGAAGACAATTTCTAACTCAATTTGATTGAAGGTTTTTGTCGTTTTTTTTTTATTAATGAGGTCCTACGTTTATCATTGTTTTTAAATCACAAGTTAGTAGAAGCCGCTGTGAACGGTTAAGGACATTTTAACGAAAATTCAAAAAGTGAAGTTTTTTTAAATATTGACGTGCAATTTGGCCGCATTTAGAGAACTGAGCTGCGTTTCTGCATTCATAACTGAACTACAAAAATACATGAGCATACTTTTCTTATATACTCGTAAAATGAATCTAAAGATGAACATTTTGACATGTTTGCGTCGTTTTATTTGAAGGCGTTAGTTATTAAACTGCGAATGTGTCTCTAAATGGTGTATAACGTGTTTCGTAAACTAGTTTGCATAGAAACCTTTATTGCACTTTATAATAATTTGTGTCCATGTCCTAAACCTTTCATAAATAGGTAGAATCTGTATAATATTATACACATTCCTTTGTGGTGAGATTGACGGCTATGCAAAGCACCATAACGACACCTTGGCAATCTCCACGCACCGTGCTTTGAATTTTTGTATCGCCGGAAGAACATTACCTACTGCGTTTTGATACAGATAAATGCTGCTCCAATGAACATAAATTTGCTGTTTACTTTAAAAAATATACAGCATCCCATTGCTAGTTCTACAACTTAAAATACTGCTAGTTTCGTCGAACACCTTTTGTAAAGTGCGGTTTAGAGTTTTGAGGTATTACTTCGTTACTCTTAGAGATTGATTTTTTTCTATAATATAATTTGATTGATTAGAAGCTAAAACTTTTGAGCCACAACCGTACCGTCAACTCGCTAAATACGTCAGAGGACGCAGCCAATATGAATCTTGCGGTTAAATGAAAAAACAAAAAACGACTAAAACGTTTGTGGAAAAGTAATCAAAGTGGTGATATCAGCACGTCGAATTTTAGCTTGCAGAGCGACTGCGGGTTTGAATTCTGGATACCACGATTTTAAATTTTGATATTTCTTAGACCTGCTATGTCCATCGCTTTTTTTCAATATAAAGAGTTTATTGAATCATTTCACAGCATGCGTGGTTATTAATAGACCATGAAATCGCCCACAAGACATTGTTCTAGTTCGAATTGAGAGTGAATAGAAGTCTCCGATATTTGTAATATATGGAAGCGTGTGTCATATTAAATCATTATTGAATCTCAGGTAGTCGTGCGTTTGGACAAGATAGTACTGCAGAATGACACATTTTATACTGAAAACTGCAAGGACATCCGGCATTGCATTTGTTTGGCATGTGGGGCCACATCACATCGGTTGCACAGTTCAAGCACCAGCAATTACCGTATCGATTCTGCCTTCTCTCCGATTTTTCTCAGGATGACCCTATACCAGCTGGCCATCGAATTAACCCTTTTTATATCATTATCATCTGATTTATATTTCTAGTCAAGTTTTGTGTTAACCAACCGTGCCGCCTCCTTCTGTTACAGCAGCAAGCTCTTCTGTTCATCTCCTAGGCCCAGAAGTGGTGGTTCCTTATAACTAAGGTGCCTAGAACGCGTCTGTGACTGGTCCCTTTATTTTCGCCTGATGATGTCATAGGAGTGTCATATCGTCGCCGGCCACGAACCTGGCTGTGTACAGAACTGGTGATGGATGGGACAGTAGCCTGTTTGGCTACAGGTTGCTGTCCAGCTTGACAGTCAACGGAAGCCTCAGCATCCAGGAGTGTGGACCCCACAACGACCGCTACACTCCTGTTCGCTCGTGCTTTTGAGCGGGTTTTCTAGCACCAACCGCCATGATTACGACATCCGACAACATGACACGCCTGCTCCTTTGACGTTGTTGGTGGCAACTTCGGGACCACTTTTGATGTTGGGTAGAACGCGAAGCATACCTCTTGAAGATGCGTCACAACGTACGAATACTGAGTTCTCGGGAATGCTCTTTTGTCGTTTACCCTCTGGGAAGTCCAATGGGGTTGATTGTCCTCCACCGGTAAGTCTCCCAAATGCAAGCCATTGTGAAGGGCATGCGGTAGCGGTCCTCCCAGGCGGGTGCCCTTTGCCGTCCGATTACCGTGTCAATTTCTTCCCGAATCCTGTTCTGCAAGCTCGGCTTGTCGGCGCAGTTCAGCAGGTACCACACTATGCTGTTGCTCACGGGAATCGTGCCGGCGCTCATCAGGACGAGCAGGTGGCCGGCTGCGTATTCCACTGCAAACAAAAGCCATTCGTTTTTAATGCATCGCGTTTACAAGGCCAGATCTTAAGGTTTTCGTGCCCATGGACGTAGCCTTGATGGCACCGCAGTGTTACATGACATTGCAACGATATCTGAAAGCAGTTCTCAAAGAATATTGTTCTAGGCCCTCTGTGACGTAACGTGATATCACGACGTCACGTTGCGCCATGACGTCACGTGGCGCTATGACAACACGTGACACTGACGTCAAACGACATGACGAGGCGTGACACCATAACGTCACGTGACGTTACAGTTGCACGTGACGTAATGCGAAACGGAGGCCATTGTATAATAAAAAACTAAACCTTCTAATTATAGCCTTTAGCGGCCTCGTAACTTTGCCAGCAACCGGAGGAACGTCAATAGGCGCTCAAAGGCTGTGCGCTTAGAACGGCTTTGGAAAATGGCAAAGAGAGGCGGGGAAATAAAATTACCATTTGTTAACCGCTCGGCGAATGTCATGCCAAAAATATATCTTAAGACCTAAAAATAAAATCTTGTGCTGTTACACTGAGCACGAGATTGCTCGTTCTTACGTCATGTTACAATGGAGGCTTCGATTTCAGGTGTAAACCGAGGCTGCAAAACGATTCAGAATTCGCAATAGATTGACAGGCGGCCTTTATTTCATCAATGTTGTAGCCACCCTAGCCACCCTAGTAAAATATCTTATATGACTAAGAAATGTCTTGGTGTAATAAACGCACTTGAATAAATAAAATCACATAAGAGCATACAATAACCTTATAAGAACAAATAAGAAGTTATTTGTTCTTATATGACTCCACGACTTCGTCGTGGAATTTAAGGCTTTCTAGATTAAAAGAGACAATGCCCAGGTAATCAAACATTCATCTTCCACCCATGATAGCTCCTCACTACGGTACGCGCTGGCTCTTTATTGAGATTTTCAGAAACTCCAGTTCGTTTCAAATAAACACGACAGTACAGCGCTTGTCTTTTTGTGTATGTTCCTTTTTTGTCCTCATTGTGTAAGCTACTTTGTTCACCTTGCAGATAAAAAGTAGAGTTTTCATTAAACCATTTAGTGGGATGATTTGTTTGACATGCATTCAAATGCCATGGGCTATTGGCAAATGTAGAAAATAATACGGAAAGAAATGTGTACACATCTGTACTAACGTTTTATTGATAAGTGCTAAGTAATATTTAGGTATATTTGAAGTGTCACACTTACGTAAATTTGCTTGCTAGTGCACCTAAAAAGAAACCGCGGATATTCACTAGTCGCTCACTCTTAGTGCTGTAGGCAGTAGCAATATGAAAAGCAAAATATTTGTTCAATAAGATAAATGTCCTCATAATAAAACCGGACACCAAGATATAGTAAACCTATCAGACAAGTTTATGGGGGCACAGGTAATCGGTAAGAAAGTGGCCCTAAGAAGAAGAAACATAGCAAGCATATTCTAAGCTAGTTCGACAACAAGATGAGCTATTTTGAAGGAAGACGACCAAATTATTCTATCATGCAAGTAAATTTTGTTTGTGAAAAATGTAGTTGAAGGTTACGTATTTTCGAGTTCTGCCGGCCCGGTGAATAGAAAATCCCGTTAGTGACTAGGCTTGTCATTTGGAATTTGGAAGCGACGAAGACGATGCCCACACACACCGCCATCAAAGGCTACATATTCGACCGGCTAATCAGTTAAGATATAATTCGGTGTGTACATTATTTGATTATTCGCAGGACAGCGCCATACAGTGACGCTCTAGTCATATTACGCGGTTAAATATTGTTTTTTATTGGATGATGTCAAACACGGATGGTGATGGATAAGTGGAAATTCCAGTTTGAAGCGTATTCACGGTAAGCCAGAGTGCACTAAATATAACTTTTATTTACGATGAAACCTTATGATTGGTGATCAAATATATCCTTAAAAATACATCACAAGCCACGCTTATCATCTTGCGCAGTCTCTGAAGAGGCAATACTAAAATATTCAGTCGGATTAATCGTATTGATTGAATGTGATCAATGATACGAAGCCACCGGAAGACAAAAGCTTTGTCGGCGCTGGGATTCAAGCTCTAGGACTCGTGAACCAGATATCAGGAGAGCCGGAGTTTGAATCCCAGCTTTGCCAAGATTTCGTTTTTTGGCAACTTTGTAATAATTTATCTATTCAATCAGTACGATTTTTTAATTCACAAGTTTCGTCCCTTTCTCCTAAATACGTAAACTGCATCACTAGGGCGACGGAACTGTGTTCAACCAAAGTTCTTGAATTGATAAAGATAAAGGAAAAAAAGCATCAAAATACCTACCACTGATATGAGAATTGGAAACTTTACGGTACTCGCGAGTCTCCTTCAAGTACGCATCGGTGAAGTCGAGGTTTGAGTATTCATCAAGCACCTCTTGGTGCTCTCTTATCCTTTCGCTGCAAAGTAATAGACGTGCCAGTATACATTACTCATCAGAACTCAATATTTAAACAAAGAATAAAAGCAAGAGAAACTTATTTTGTTCGATTTGCAGTACAAAGAAAAGAATATTTCCTGCTTTTCGTTCAGTGCACAACCAGGACGATACAAAGTTAGTTGCTACAGTTCATGCGTTACTTCGTCGTTTAAAGAAGCTATGAAACTATTTTTGTACTTTCGGTAAACATTACTCAGGGTTACTTCCTTATGTTAATAACTGAATAAACTTGTCATAGTTTTTCTTTCTAGGTAACGACAGTCACCAGAACAATTCGAGAATAATGAGCCACGTGGCCTGGTGCCTATCCTATGCCGACAACGTTAATCATAGCCACGTGCTGGGGTCGGCAAAGCAGAAAACGCGTGCTGAGCTCCAGGCATTGTTCGAGTTCGGCTATTCTCATCACCGCAGTTGCACGAGCCACTACCCGAGTGTGCGCCGAAGCATTGATTGTTATGAGCCCAAGTCGAGTGCTTACGCATTTCTCGTGTCAAATTCATGAGCCGAGTTCGATTGGCGTCAGGCGGCCCGACAATTACGTCATCAAGCTTTGTGATGACAACACAGAAAAAAAATGGTCCACTTTTATCCTCACTATTTCACCGCGGCAAAGAAGCTTCCGAATGAGGAGCGGTCTCTGCGAGCATACTTATGCCAGACTAGGACCAGTCCGCCTCTGCAAAGTCATGAACGTTCCAACCCGACATCGTTTCATGGCCCCTTTAAACCAAGCTGTGCACTAAAAAGAGTTTGAAACCGGTACCGCAAGCAGAGTCGCATATATGAAAGAATGCGCGAAAACATCACCATACTAATTAAACGATTATCAAAAAGCAAAAAGCCTGCAGTACACACGTTAGGCGTCACATTTAGGTTTGTTTACAACCGAAAACATTTGCCTGATTTATTTTTAGGCAATTACAGTCGCCAATAAAATTCGAGAAATATGAGCATCGTTCATCCCCTCCACTCGGAGTCAGAACAAGGGGCCACGTGAACTAATGCGTATCCTTTTTCGCCAATATTAATCATACCCACGCGCCGGGGTAACTAGAAAATACGTACCGAGCTCAACGCATTGTTAGAGTTCAACTATTCTCAACACCGCAGTGGTTGGACACGAGCCACTACCCGAGAGTTCACCGAGGCATTGTTTCGAGACGAATTCGAGTGCTCACGCAATTCTCGTGTCCAACTGATGAGCCTCCCTCGACTGTCGTCAGGTGGGTGGTTTTGATCTCACAATTACGTCATCATACTTTGCGAATTAAAAGACTGAAAAAAATAGTCCCCTTTCATCCTTGGAATTTCACGGCGAGAAAGAAGGTTTTGAATCAGTGGCGGTCTTGCGAGTAAACTTTGTCCAGACTAGGCCCAGTACAACTCTGAAAAATCATGAACATTCAACCCGTTATCGTTTCATGACTCGTGTAATGTTGACGGCTTATTCGTAGCACTGACTAATATTTTCACGGGTCTTAAACGAAAAGCATGTTTTCTTTACCACCGTGTGGTCCGTTTGTATTCTCTCGGACCTGTGCCTGAAGTATCAAGCGGCCAGTATTTGCGCATTTACGTGATAATTATTTCTGGTATCATCATCCATTCCAATAAAGTGTTAAATGTTCAGTGTAGTCCAAGCGGTTTGTATTCGTGCGGCCGCCGAAGTGCCTTGCCGGACGCCTCCGCCTAAATTTACGTCGCGAAATCGCGATTGCATCAGCACTTTTAACGTTCGAATCGACAACACGAACCAACCGGATCGGCTGGTTTCATCAATAAATGTTCGTAAAACAAAATTGAATGTCTAAAGCCTAGTTCACATGCAGCGGTTTTGGCCCTAGAGCGGCGCGATTTGTGCCGTCGCGGCGCTCTGGCCAGCACCAGCAATTAAGCGGCACGAGCGCCGCGACGGCAGAAATCGCGCCGCTTTAGGGCCAAAATCGCTGCATGTGAAACACGCTTAAGGCCGGTTCTCACATTCGGCGAAGCGCTGATGTAGCGCGGCTCACGTGTCGTCATATATTTGGTGTCTGCCATGAGCAACAGTTTTGACGGTGCGTTACAAAGCTGGTAAGCGCTCCCGTCCGCACGAGCTTAGCGCGTGGTCAGTGCTATTCTTGTAGCGCTCCGCTGCATGTGTGAACATACCTTTATGCAGCCGCGTTCGCAACCGCTTCGCGAATGCTTTTTAATCACCAGAGTGAATTTGGCATAAAGGTGGCATGCGTTTGATGGGCTCATTACTGACCGTAAGCACCAAGATGATTCACTGGGCTCCGCCTTCTATTCATTGAGTGCATGCATAATACCTACCATAATGATGACATTAAAGTAGCATTTATTCATCAGGCAACACGTGTTGTCCTTCTGTCATTATTCGTGCCTAATATCACCGTAGTGCAGGTATGCCAAGATTGCCTCGCTCTACACGACATAATCGGCCGTCGAAGGAACTTAAGTTTGTTTAAAACGCTACGCATGTAAAACGGAAGATGACTAAGTGAAGCAGTGAAAGTGGTGGAGGTTACTCGGTGTACGAGTACATACTTGACGAACCCAACAATCCCTCGAAGCCCGGACCTGAAGGAGTGCACGCGGGAGCACGGCAGGTAGCCCGCGATCGTGTGCAGCCATGACGGTGTCCAGGCGACCGGGGAACTCGAAGCGATATGCTGTCCGACTTGGGAGATGCATCTGTCGAGAAACATCCGTCTGGGATCTTCAAACGGGTACGACACGCTCAGCAGGAGTTTCATAATGGCGTTCTCGCAGCTCGCCTGCGCGTATTTCTTTATGGGCAGAGGTTGTCCGTTGTACTCGGCAAGCTTGCTGCACAGGTACTGCAGTTCTTCCTGTTGACGTGGGATACAGGCAATAAAAGAGATCATTCAAACGGAAATTCCTTCAGTCGTGTGTGTGTGTGTGTGTTTAGCCAAAACCACCTAGAACATAAGGCCATCGCGTGACATCATCACCAGTGGATCGCCGACAGGCCCCGAGCGCCAAACACGCTAAAAAACCGAAGACATGGCGCAAAGTGACGCGTCATGGTGTAACCGCGTGTTAGCGTCGCGATCGTTGTGAGACGCTGTGGCTTTTCTTCTTAGGTGGTATAGGTGTAGCACATCCTTTGGGAATTACGTCTTGAGATAGCTTTATTTTATTAATATTGTGCTCATCCGGCGTCAGTATGAGTTGAAACAGCCGAAGGAAGTAAACTTGCCGCGTGAGGTGCCTCCAGCGAGCTATGCCGTAGAACCTACGACCGTAATGCGACCGTGGAGTACGTGGCAGTCACCTTTCATTCGTAGCATCTAGCATGGAGGTTTCATCTCGGCGTCCTGGACGCCTCCGTACCTGCTCATAATGCTGCATCCTCCATATACTTTGAATCTTGAAAACGTATGGGCGTACTAGATACAATTACCCCAGAACATCCTTAGATATTGTTTTAAAATAGCTCGAGGCCCGGCGTTTGCATAATCGAATTCTGAGCATGAGCTGGAAACCACCGAAACGAGCGCATAATTTTCTGTCAAATTCAATATTGATTTCTCGAAGTAAAGCATCTGCACTCTGGAAGCTCAAATGTTATACGAAACGATAAATGTTTCATGTAGTTGGCGTGCCATCCTATTATTTGCAAAATTTAGCTTCATCATTAGACAATTTTCATTTCGTTATTAAGACCTGTGTACACATAGGGCACAGAGCTAGCTCAGCGCTATTAGTAAGCGCAGGAAATAGCGTCGATCTTGCTGGTGAAACGATGATTTTGCACTATATATAAGTGTTACAGCGCTGATTTAACGTTCATCAATGGTAAGTTAAAGTTGAAGTCGGTGGTTCATCAGTGCTGTTTCCAGTGCTGATTTAACGCATCGCTATATACGTGAACCGGACGTTTAAAATTTTGTTTCATGTAAGTTATATTTCCTGGACCATGTTTCGCATTAAGCTGACTTTACAAAAGCGATGTTTCAAAGCACCGAAAAATCATGATTAATGTACTTTCTGACTAATATTTGGTTCTAAAATATAACAAATAACGCAGTCCAGGTAATCGATTAGAAAATTCATGAATCGGCGGATGCATTACCTGCAAATTTATTTATTAACCGGTTATTCGATTGAGCATGAACCCTTCTATGTATCTCCGCGCGCTTACGCAGCCGAGCCGACAGCGCGTTTGGCTCACATGCAGGTGGGTCAGATTCGAATCCCGGCACTGCCTGTCGTTTTACATTTCTTTATGAAAGTAAAAGATTCGATAAAATTGAAGAACCGTCTAGCCTATTTACCTTCAGAATGTATAGTTTGAAAAGCACCGAGGCAGGATATTCTAGGCTCTTATAGAAGGCTTAAAAGTAGCTGCACCGCGCCAGAACCGCATTTGTTCAATCTCCACCCGCTGCCCGTTTCGATCTGGATGAGTGACGTACCTGCAGGCGTTCGTGTAATCACTACTGTGTGATGCACGCTAAAACCTTAAGGTTAGCGGTCGCACTGCACTGGCTAAATTTCTCATCTACGGCTAAGAGAGAGGTTACCTGTTGAGGCGTACTAGCATCAAAGCTGTATAAACACACAAGCATCCCAATGTTTCCGTCCGAGTCAGTCTCGCCCAGGTGCTCGATCCTGCTGTTACGCCACCATTGATGGTAGCCATTCTCTACTTTGTTTTGGGCCCAAGCTCGTCGCATTTAACGTTTAGTTCCCTTCAGCCATTCGCAGCCTCATCAACTGTCATTTGTTAAAATATTAGGGTTCCGAGAGGCATCTCCTTTGTCGTTCTCGAACTTGAAACGCAAGATGTAATCGGACAAGATAGGTTCACAAAATACAAACAAAACGAATAAACTTAATTGTATTTAATTGTCTTCCAGAGGTGCTTTAATTGTGGCTTACTAGTTTTCTTCCCAATAATACTGTCGGTACACTAGATGACGCCCCTCCCCCACCACCCCCTCATACAACTGTGTCTTTCGATCAGTGTTGGCGGTAACACGTTACAGGTAACGCCTCTATCGGTAACGCGTTATATTTTTAGTTACGTAGTAACCTACCCTTTACTTATTTCAAAACAGTAACGGGTGACGTACTTGCTTTACTTTTTTCGAGAAACGGGTAACGCAGCTACATTGCGTTCCTTTACTTCCTAAAACTTAAAAAAACAAAAAAAAAAACAGTTACGCTTCTGTTTTTAGGCGCCCTGTCATGAATCAACAATGAATAATGATTCGCCCCAAAACAACAAAAAGAAAAATTTCCCTCTTGTTTTTGCATTCAAACACTACTTACTGCTTTACAAAAACACCAACGCCACACCCATTGACCCTGTTTCGATGAAGGCAATCACGGTCAGTGGCATGCATGATGAATACACGCCCTCCGAGTTCATCTTCTAATCCCCCGATGGGACAAAGTTTCAGGTACTGTTCTTTTTTTATTATGCTAATCTCTCTCTTTTACAAAGACAGGCACTCCAGTGCCTGTCCTTGTGCGAGAGGGCAACCTGTCAACCTTGTCGTTCTGGGGCTGACTTTCAGTGCTCAAAATTCAGTATTGATAGGCTTCGGGGACAGAGGAGTCACCGAGGCAGAAGACCTGAAAATCCAGGGAGAGAAAGTATCGTGGGTAGCACAATGCAAATACGTGGGGATCCACACCGAGGAGGGTAAAAACTACCCCGAAGACAATGAGACCAGGCTCCAGGCTAAGGGCAGGAGGTCCAAAGGAATATCAACAGTTAGAGCCCCCTGGGGTTACAACCGTTTTGAGATCTCCCGGGCGGTGTGGAAGATGGTGGCAGTGCCGGGTCTCACCCTTGGAAATGGAGTTCTGTGCCTGTCGCCCCGTACGTGTGAGTGCCTAGAGGTGCGCCAGATACAAGTCGGACGGTCAGCACTGGGAGCTAGCCGAAAAACACCTAACGAGGCAGTGCTGGGGGACATGGGATGGTCCAGCTTCGATGCCAAAGAGGCCCGGGCCAAGGTGGGCTTCAAACGACGCCTCCGCCAAATGCAGGAAGGGCGGTGGGCAAGACAGAAAATCAAGTACATTCACCTCAAGAGCCCCTCGACTAGTTGGGTGCGACAGACACGCCAGCTGACCTTCAGGTATCACGTAAGCAGCCCTCTCCTCTACCCGGCTCCAGAACATCATATCGAAAAAATTCGCATGAGAGTAATGGAGACCAAGACTCAACGGTGGGCGGAGAAGGCGAGACAGAGGCCGGCAATTGTCTTGTACACCAGGTAAAAAAGGAAGTGAGGAAGATCGAATTTATGGACAACGGCTGGGGCAGCGGACTTCTGTTCGACGCCCGGGGAGGCAAGCTGCGAACGCGCGTACTTCGAGAAAAGTACACGGAGACCGACGTGCGATGCACCTTCGCGCACAAGGGGTCGAAGAAATGCTACAGCACGTCATCCCAGAGTGCACTGGCCTGCATCCGGAAGTGTCGTGTGGCGGAGACATGGCGGTGGTGTTGGGCTTCTGGGAAATCGACGAGGAGGGCAACGATAGAGGCAACAACAGCGCCGACAGCATCCTGGACAGGTGCCCGCGGCCTATACCGGTGGTGGAATAGATCAAAAGAAGACTGGACCACTGGTGGAAGAAAAGCCAAGAAAAAATAACAGATAAATTGGCTACTTCAGTACGCTGGGATCCCCCGATACAGAGGGGTTAGCCGCATATCGCCATCCAAATGCGCCAAAAGAAGGCGCTCCCCGGTGATGTCTCCTGAAACGTTCTGGGTTAGGATTTTCAAGGTCATGCATCAGTTGTCAGAGCTGAAGACGAGAAATACCTCCACGAAAGCCATTCGAAAACAGTTGTACCTTTTCATGTTATGAATAAAATGCATTAAAATGTTTAAACTCAGGTGGTATTGTTTTCTCTGAAATCCGGGAGGCCGGTTCTTCTCTTATGTTCCGTGGCTGCATAACAGAAATCAGCCTCATATGTACTTCCGCGTTTTTAGTTGTTACCATTCAGGTGGAACTATAAAGAAGCGGGGTTCTGATGACTCGTATCATGAGAAGCCCGCTTCCCCTACTAAAGAGAACGCGGCAGAATAGGAAGATTTCTTTGAGAACTTGTTTGCAAGTTGTGGGCACCCTGGCGGGTCCCCAGCTCAGTTGCCGACTCCGGGGCACAGGTGGCAAACTTTTCCTGCGTGGCGGCGACGTCACGCCAGCCACGCGCACATTGTAAGCGCCGCCTTGATAAGGCGGACGAGAGGTGGCGCACAGGGAGTCACTGCCTGGACTCAGGCGCCGCTAATCGTCTTGTTCATGTCCAATTAAATGTAGTTTCTTGTTGTTGAAACCGTTGGCTTCGTGTTATTACTCCGGGCCGAGTATACAGCAAGGCAAACCGACCACAATGGCGCCCAAGCGTGGTTGCTACCCACTCGCAGGAATTTCACGGGGCTTGGTTTCTGGGGAGCGTTTCCTTTTTTTTTTTGCGCTTGTGTTGAGCTTCTGTTGGGTATTTGGGGGCGTTTATTTTTAGAGCGCAGCTCTTAGGGGCCCGTTTCCAGCCTGAGCGGCGTCGGCGTCGGCGTCGGCGTAACCGGGGGGGGGGGGTCACGTGACCCCCGAAATCACGTGACCCCCCCCCCTCCGAGGTCACGTGACCTTCCCCCGAGGTCACGTGACCTACCCCGACGAGGTCACGTGACCCCCCACGAAGTCACGTGACCCCCCCCCCCCCCCCCGAGGTCACGTGACCCCCCCCCCCCCCCCCCCCCCGAGATCACATGACACCCCCGGGGTCACGTGACTACCCGCAGGTGGCGTGACCCCCCTCAATACCCTTCCCTACTCCTCCTCAAGAGCTGCGC